TGAAAACCAAAGGATATATATATATATATTGAACAAAAGAATATTTATAGTTTTTCTGTATTATATTTACGAATATCAATCAGATGACTTAATCTTGGACCTGTAGATGAGCTTCTTCTTTGAAGTTTGATTATCTAGTGCGAGCACAATCTTCCTAGGGTCATGAGATTTGAAGCTGCAAATGATCTTCCGCTCGTCGATGGCCAGATCTTCGTCGATTTTTGTACAATCTAAGTGTATCTATCCCAGGTCGGGTCGCGGGGGTCGAGGGGGGTAACACCCCTCGTGGGGGCTCAAGGGTAACGCCCCCGAAAGGAAATCTGATTTGTAAATGATTGTGAGATTTATAATTTTTATTAATGTTTTTGAATTAAAATATTAATAAGTGTTTGTAAATTTGGTTAATATTATTTATAAAAATTTATGGTATATTATTATTGTTTGCACAGTATTATTAATTAAAAAAAAGGTCCGAATGCTCCCGCAATGTGCAGAGCAAACCAAATTTTTTTTCTCCAACAAAAAGTCAACAATTGTAGGCATATAAATTGATTAAAAAATGATCTTTTCAAATTACCCTTAACCCACGTGTGAATAGTGGAAGACAGATAGATGTAGTTGGTGTAAATAGTAAAGGATGAATATGGGGCTAACGAAAATGCTTCAAAATGAACAGTACTCGACAGATTCACTCTTTTAATATAGCAGAGATATAATATCTTGTTAGAAAAATTACCTTCCACTCTAAATAAAGCTAATCAGAATCAATTGCTCAGGGGTCACACTTATCATGTGAAATGCTATTTGAAAGAATCCGTTCCTCTTATGGAACGGAAGAGGGACTCTCCATGTGAGAACATGTCGTTACTCCGATTCTTCTCCACGGACAAATGCCTCCAGCAAAAAGAAGAAAAAAAATAATTTCCATATCTTAAAGAAAATAAACAATCTTTATCTTTACTTCAAGAAGCCAACAATTTTCCAAGAAAATGCAAACACAAAGTATCAATTCATTTATATCCTGGACTCGGTCACAATTTAACTCTTCTCCTTTCTCCTTAACAAGTGCTCACCACATATTAAAAGTCTTTCTTAAAATAGCAGAAGCATCTACATCTAATGGATCTCTTTCTAAAGTAATTAGATGTGAATCAAACTAATAATCAGAGTCTACATTTTGTCTAATTGGAAATTAATGAGAGTACAAGAACTTCAGCAACTGAAGAATCCAAAATTTAATCTTCACCCTCCCCCAGCCCAAGTAGAAAATAAAGATAGAAAAAGAATAAAGCATTGAATCAGGTAGTGGCATTACAAAATGGTCAAGGGAAACTTCTATTATATGATCAATCCTTAGACACAGCGAGATAGAGCAGAGAGCTGCAGTATCAATCTACTTAGTACTACACCTAGGGCCTTCAAGATCCACTGTACGTCATACATTATGTGATTTGACTTGGTCAAATTCTCACATATATAATGAATCTGATTAATATTTCATGTTTCTGTGACTTGTCAACTACTTACAATATGAATGTCTTGAAAACAGATATATCTGGCTGATATCATAAAAGGAGCATCTCCATCCAGTCAAAGAACTTACCTTAAAACTGATTATGGAAATCCCTATGAACTCCCCGCTCTCTGGAAAGTGCAAACAATCAACTTCAGTAATGGAACCACAGTCTTCAAAATACTTTCTTGAGTTATTAAAATGACTCTAAGAATAATACCATCAGAGGTGTCAAAATGAAATTAAGAAAACAAACTGAAAGTGGTCTGCTCAAGGACTCCCTAAATTACAGCTACACTGATATTTCTGATTGCAGCATTTTCTCGAACAGTCATAAATCAATCCAAAATGCGCCAGAAAACCAAAGCAAGAATCAAGAAATTTCAATAAAGCAGCGGCAGCAAATTCTTGTCGCAATTTTCTCCCGCCGTTGACAACAATAAGCGGCCTCTCAAATTCCCTGTAAGTCCGGCTCCTCTGTGAAGGCGGCAGGCTCATATGGTTGAAAATTATGTTAAAAAACAAAAATTGAATTTAGGTGCAAAATATTTTATTGTGAGAATGTGTGATTGAAAATGAGTTTGAGAAAAAAATAATTTTGTTTTAATGATTGTCGGGGCTTAATATTAATTAAATTATTAATAAATGCATATTATTTAACTAATTAGTAATATAATTTACTTTATAATTTTTTTATTATTGGAATTGAAATGTTTTTTGTACAATAGAAAATTATTCTAAATTATTATTTAAAATTAGTATTTTAATTGTAGCATAGCTAAATTTATTAGGTTAATCAATTTAACATGTTAATATCGATAGTTGCATTCTTGCAATGTCAATATCATAAATACAAGAAATTTTATTCAATTAAAACCCAATACAGTTACTTCGAGAAATATAACATTTGACATGATCAACTTATCAGAAGGCCGATACATTCTGCCGGAAAAAGAACAGTCCGGATGGGGGCGTGGCCCCCCCATCCGGCAGCAGTGCCAGCTTCAATAGACTATCCGCACCTTCTTCAACAGTCAATGGACCAGTATTGATATTTATATCAGTTTTCACATATCCAGGACACACGCAGTTGATGTAGAAATCAGGGTATTTCTTGGCCATAATCCTTGTATAGGCATTAATGGCAGACTTCGACAATCTGTATGCAGGTAAATGTTCCGGCCAGCCATTGACTTTCAATGAGTTTTCTTTGAAGTCTTGAAGAAACTTGTTGAGCACATTATCCACTTTATCTTCTGTGAGTTCTTCTGCATTACTTAGCACTTGTTTTGCCCATTCATTAGTCTGAAACTGGATGTGGGATCATGAGAAATATCATATGTCAGGTTCTCGAAGAGTTGTGTTCCTTTCCAAAAATCCATTTCTTATAATCCCCCAAATTATCTTAGGTTGGCTTACTCTTAATTATTAAAGTAAAATGTCATTTTATAGAAATTTTTTTTGAAACGCAGTTATTTTCCAACGGAAACATTTTTCCACAAAATATATTTTACCGTCAATTGCCCCATGAGAGAAGACACATTCACGATCACCGGTGTGTCGGACAACCTTAAGAGTGGAATAAATG